AGGAAGGCCGTCCACCAGCTGCTGCCTTTGCTGCGCAGCTTCTCCTGTCTTTGCTGCCGAGGCAGACAGCGGATTTGCGTCTCTTCGAGCCACAAGACCAAGTTCTCGAACTGGGGTGTACGTACACCTGGAGGCAGCGGGCACTGCAGCACTTCCAGCCGCCGCAGCAGACTCCGCGGCAGCTCCCCCGCTGCTGCTGCTGCTGCTGCTCCCGCTGCGGTAGCTGCGGGCGCCATCGCTGCTGCTGCCGAAGCCGAAACTCCTGCTGCTGCTGCTGCTGCAGCAAACGAAGAGGCCGGCCTTGCCGGGGCCTGACGGAGGCCGAGTGCTCTGTGAGCTCAAGCCCTACGTCAATCGGCCCCAAACCCTAAACCCTAAACCCTAAACCCTAAGACCCCGGGCGCTGGCACACAAGACAGGCGGAAGGAGGTGTTAGGTGGACAGTTTTGCTGCTGATAGTGCCATTAGCTGGTCTCTTATTAGTAGTTTGTTATCTAAATATGGCAATACAAGAATGTAGTTTGCAGCAGCAGCAGCAGCAGCAGCAGCCGCAGCAGCAGCAGCAGCAGCAGCTGCAGGGCTTGAGAGGCTCTGGGGCCCCCCGGGTGGCCTCGGGCGGCACAGCCTCGTCGCGAATCAGTTTTTTTGCACTAAAGAATAAAAACAAATAAATAGAAACTGTTAATTTAATTTAAATGAAGCAGACAAACAATAAAGCTGTCTCACGGCTGCTGTGGATCCGCCGCGGTGTCTATACACCCAGGCGCATGCGCGCTGTTGCCGGCGCACGAAAAACACAAAAAGTGCACAAAAATAAAAACAAAACCAAAAATATAAATATAAATAAATATATAAACCTATTTTATTTACCTTTTCACCTTTATTTTTGTATTTTAACTCTCTTTTTTGCCAACATGCACATATCTTCACCAGCCATTCATTTCTACTTCTTTTCACTGCCTTTTCTGGGAATTTCAAAGCTGCATATTATATTTATTGCAGATTCTTTTATTTATTTATATTTTATTTTATAAATTCCTTTTATTTTTCATAATGTACTTATTGTACATTCTCCCAGTTTGTTTATATAATGCTGAACTGTAGGTTCTCTTTGCCTACATTACACTTACCGTGCATTCTTGTATTTGCCCATATTAAACTTGTTGTACATTATTTTCGAGCCCTCGGGTTTAGGGTGTAGTAGGGTTTGGCGTTTAGTAGGGTTTAGGGTTTAGTAGGGTTTAGCCGCAGACTTTCTCCAGTGGCTCAGTCCTGCACCCTAGCTAGCTGGCTAGCCATATAGCTAGCTGGCTAGCTAGCTGGCTAGCCAGCTGGCTAGCTAGTGCCAACCCCCAGCAAGTGCCAAGCCGCGTCTGCGCCCCTAAGCGCCTGCGCGAGGTGTCTATACACCTCAACGAGCATCCCATACACCTGAAGAAGGTGCCTATACACTTCAGCTAGTTGCCCATACACTTCAGCTAGCTGCCAATACATCTGAACTACTGCCTATACACCTGAACTGGCTGCCTATACACCTGAAATAGCTGCCTGTACAGCTTAAGTAGCTGCCTATACACCTGAAGAAGCTGCCCATACACTTCAGCCAGCTGGCTATACACCTGAACTAGCTGCCTATACACCCGGACGCCGCGGCGCTTGCAGCAGGTGTCTGTACATCCGAAGGAGACAGTACCGAGCTTTCCTATTTGCTGCCGAGAGAAAAAATGCGGCCCGCAGTTTGCGGGCTGCGCAGCCACCGCAGCACTGCGCGGTGGGTCCATTTTGCTGCTGCTGCAGCAGCAGCAGCTGCTGCTGCTGCTGCTGGTGTGACG